GAAGCAAGAGACATCTTGATGCATTTGGGGAAGATATCTTCTCTGTCAGAGGCACCATTCACCCCTAGAACATACCATCAAGTGGATGACTCTCAATCAAAGAACCATGAGTCCTATTGGACAGATTTCCATGAAGGAATGTATGACCCCTTGAATGAACTTCACACATCTGCTCGGAGTCAGTTGGCATCCTTTGTCAAGCATCAAGAGCATCATCACCAAGATGACCGAGTCCAAGAGTCTCATCATGATGGAAAATCCTTTCTGAACAGCGTTCAAAGTGTCTGGAAGCACTTCAAGCCACCCAAGGAAAAAAAGACAGAAGATTTGAAATTAGGTAACAGGAGGAAATTCTCATGTCCAGATGAAAACCTTGAGTTCTTAAGAAAAGGAGAGGAAGGAGGAAAGCCTTATGAGAGGGGACTACATAAATCCTCAGAAGAGATCCTTATACCAGTGGAGCAAATGCAGTGGCATTCTCCTCCTAAATCCATCATCAAACCTGCTCTTGAGGTAATGGAGTATCCTAACCTCACTAATGTCAGTTGTACCCCACAGAACTTCATGAAAGATTCTTCATACAGGCATTGGAGGAGTACCAGATGATTCAAGGAGGAGATCGTGTCCTGGTCTGCTTGTCTGGAGGAAAAGACTCCATGTCCTTGCTTCATACTCTTCGACAGTATCAGTTCATAGCAAAGGCTCAACGATTGTATTTCTCACTGGGAGCAGTAACAGTGGATCCAGGAAGCAAGGCCTACAATCCCCGCCCTCTCATCCCATATCTTCATAGTCTTGGAATACCATACTTCTATGAGGAGCAAGGTCAGCAGACTTATGCTTCCCCTTGGTATGGTATTGGAATAGGTTGTTAATGTAGGTTCAATGTCATGCTTGCAGAGATTGTGAAGCAAGCAGAGTACATAGAAGATTTGAACTCCATCTGCAGTTTTTGCAGCCGCATGAAGAGAGGCCGCATATATACAACAGCTCGTAGGGAGGGCTATAATGTTGTGGCCTTGGCTCACCATTTAGATGACTTGGCAGAGAGCTTTCTCATGTCTGCCTTCCACAATGGAAGACTTCGTACTATGAAAGCATGCTACACTGTCAGGTCAGCTCTCCTGATTTTCTTAGAGTGAAGATTGCATGGGCATGTTGGTTGACATAGAGATACCCTGATTTCTCATTCAAGTCAGTCAAATACAGAAAAAAATGAGCAGCTCAAGCTACCTTCTCTTCTATTGTGAATGAATAAAAATAATTTTCTTCCAGGGAGGGTGACTTGCGAATCATCAGGCCCTTCATCTATGTTCGAGAGAAGGAACTGAGAGAGTTTGCTGAGACCAAGAGTTTACCTGTGATCCCAGAGAATTGCCCTGCTTGCTTTGAGACTCCAAAGGTTAGTCATAAAGAGTTTTATTGATATATTGCCATGATATCGTTATTTGTGAAAATTTCATGTTCTCTGCTATGATTTCCAGGAGAGGTACAGAACAAAGCAACTGCTGGCACAGCAAGAAATCCTCTTTCCAACCCTCTTCAATTCCTTGCGGGCTACAATGCACCCCTTGATGGCAATAGGAGAAACTGGAGTGGAATCACTTCTCTCCACACACACAGCAGGACTTTCAAAAAGACTCAATTCTATCCACCATGATGATGATGACAATTTTTGATTTCTCCAAACATAGTGCTTTCATGACATTCCATGGCAATGTCAAAATGTAATATGTACGGTACAGCAGAGAATCAATGGCTCTATAGGAGAAGGTTATTGGGCATTATCACATATTACTTGTTCTGGTACCATTACACAGTACTTACAAAATAATCTTGAGTACATTTTCAGTACCATCATTATGTTGACATTTATTCTTGTGCTGTCATTTTGGACATTGTACAATGGCCAGTATTGATTCATTTCCTATGGATTTTTACATCATTTCATTTAAAATCATTAACTCTCATTAGCTGGACCTTATAGGATGGGAACATTTCAGAATGTCCTCGTGTTTTATCTCATTTGTTCAACTCATTGTTTCATCCATGCCATGCGTGTCTTAGGTTTTTGCTGCTTCTCATTTTCTAGGTGGATGAAGAAGAAAGAAAAAGAGAAACTTTGATAGCAAAACTTGCACTTGTCCTGTGATATTGCTCTTGTCTCTTATTAGACTTTGTCTTCTAAAAAATATATGTCTCCCAGAGTGGTTGTTTGCAAAGCGTTACCTTTAATCAGTTATATGATTGTCCATTTCTTGGAGTTCACTTCTCAGCCAGCCAGTTCAATATCATGGGAGTGAAGTATGTGATAATAACATCAGCACCTGAAAAAGAGTATGTTATGATGAAATGAGCACATGGAACATCATATACATAGGGGCATCTCCTCAACTGTCATGGACAACGTTCACAAAAATATGTAAAGCATGTAGCCAAAACGCCGGAGGTGCGATGGTTTTCCCATTAAAAATCATGTGGTTTGAAAAAGAAACGTACCGATTGTACAGGGTGAGTCAAAAGTCCTGCCCACCTTTTAAACGTTAACTTAACGCTTGATCTCACGGAGATGCAGTTTTCACCATTCGAAATGCAAGACAATTCTATATATGTGCAACGATTTATGCGTTATTTTTCCAATGGTATCCTTCGGAAATGAATTTCCTATTATTGCGTCATATAAATGCATTGGCATATAAAAACATGCGTGCAGCACGGTGTCTAATTTTCTGTTCGACTGTCAGTGGGTGTCCAGATTGAGAAGGTCTGCTACGTTTCCTGTCCTGTTAACATTTGAGTTGAAACGGGCGAACAACTTGTGGCTGACAGTTTCTCCAATGAATTTTGTCCTGAGTTGTCGAGCGGTTTCCGTCACATTCGGAGTAAAGCCGAACTTTTGCAAATCGTTTATCGCCACTATCTCAATTCTCGATGAATTGGAATCGATCCCAGCCAAGACATAATAACTCTCACACTCGAAAAGATGATCGGATGTGGTGCCGCAAGCGTGTTTTCACATGCCTTTGTATAACCACCAGATTAGGAATTTAATTTCCGAATGACACCATTAGCAAAAAAATGCAAAAATCCTCCATTCGATACAGAATGGTCTATTCTTTCGAATGATGAAAACAGTATCTCGATGAGATCAAGCGTTGAGAAGTTATCCACGTTCAAAGGGTGGGCAGGACTTTTGACTCACCCTGTATATATTTTTTGACGAAGTACACCATTCCAAGAAAAAACAGCGCTCTCCCCGAGCTTGAGTGGATATTGCCCTCTCTTTCCTCATTCATCGCGCGAAGTTCCGTGCACCGATCACGACGATTTCCTTATGGTTGGAAGGTCTCTTAGTTCCCCTTGAATTAGGATATGATACAGGGTATGTCCGGAAAGTAATGCAATTTTTTTTGGGCGGGTAGTAAAAATGGCCGCACAGCGTTCCGGCCGGTTGGATTAGGTGGGGGGGCTTTCAGCTTTAAAGCGATACCTGCACCAGTCTGCTCCGAGCAGTTGGAGCTCCAGGATCGCTGTTCCCGTGCATCCCTGTTTAGTACGTGTGTCACGAAACGCGATGGAATCGTCACTCGAGCAACGTTACTCGATAAAGTTTTGTTCACTATTGAACAAATCTCTTGCGGAGACTTACCAAATGATTAAGCAAGCTTACGGGGACAATGCTCTTTCGTATTCGCAAGTTTCGAGGTGGTTGAAAGCGTTCAAGGATGGTCGGGAAGAGGTTTCCGATGAACCCCGCAGTGGACGGCCGTCAACCAGCACAACCGACGACAATGTGGCCCGTGTGCGTGCTGAGCTGAATTCTGACCGTCGGTTAAGTGTTCGGATGATTGCAGACAACCTCAACATTCCCAAAACAATTG